GTGTGTTTCTCAACTGGATGCCATTCCCACCCAATCGCTGCTCAGGAAGCCGGGTGGGCCATGCGCTTTCTCTGGTTCTGTTGCAGGCTTTGGGGCTTCCTGTCTCCTTCCTGACCCCATTCCATGGGCGCCTGTGAGCTGTGCCCAGCTGGGTTTCCCCGAGTTTCCTCCTGACCTCTGGGGCGGAGCCTCACTGGCCCCAGTCTGGCAGGTGCTACATCCTCACTGAGGCCACATGGAGGTGGGCCAGGTGTCCCTCACTAGGAGACAAAGGGGCTGACCACAGGTTCCCAATCAGGGGGTCCTGCTCCCCATGTTTCCTACCCACATCAAAGCCCCTGCAGCCCAAGGGGGTCTTCACCCCGCCAGACCCGAGAGCTCCAGGGACTCACTGAGTCAGCTGCTGCTGGCACTGCCCCTCTGAGGGGGACTTAGGGGGACACTGGGGGCCCAGGGAAGGATGGGACAGGGGCTTGGGCTGTGAGAAAAGGCCTCTGGGAACTGCCAGGCAAGTCTCAGGTCAGGACGGACCCCGGGGACCCTTGAGCAGAAGCGAGTGTGCGGGTGAGTGTGCGAGTGTGTGAGAAGATGTGTGAGTGTGTGTATGAGGGTGTGCAAGAGCTTGTGTGAGAGAGTGGCGCGTGATTCTATGAGAGTGTGAGATTGTTAAGAGTGTGTGTGTGCATGTGTGTGTGTAACTATGACAGGCACACCCCCCAGTATTCTCCTCTAAGATCTCACTGTGGAAAATGTCTGTCTTTGTGCATCCTCTCCATCCCTCCTTAGGCTTCCATCACTCGCCAGCCCTCTCCCGCTCTCCATCCCTCCATCCCCCATCCCTCCATCCCTCCCCTATAGCTCCATCCCTCCTCATATCTCCATGCCTCCATTATTCCTCTATCCCTCCATCCCTCCTAATCCTCCCCAGTCCTCTACATCTCTCCCTCCTTCCCTTTCCATCCCTTCTCTCCATCCCTCCCCATCTCTTCTATCCTCCATCCCTCCCTGCCCCTCCCCACCCCTCCTCTACCCTCCTCCTACATCCCTCCACTCCATCTTCCTGACATCCCTCCTCCATCCTCCCTTATTATTTCCCCATCCTTCCCCTTCATGCCTCCTCCATTTCTTCCCTCTCCATCCCTTACCTCCATCTCTCTTCTCCATCCCTCCCATCCCTCCTCATCCCTCCTCCATCCTTCCTCCACCCTCCCTTCGTCTCTCCTCCATTCTCCCCTCATCCCTCTCCTCCACCATCTCTTCTGCCTTTATTTAATGGCAGGGGTCATACAGTTCTTGTCCAGTCCCCCCTGCCCCCCCCGTCCTCTTGCTGTCTTCCACATTCTCCCTCGCCCCCCGCCCCAACACCCACAGAATGCAGGATTCTTATAGTTTCTGTATCAGGGCGCTGACAGTCATAGGAGTGGAGGGGAGGTAGCAGTGTCTGGGAGGTGGAGGAGGGGTCCAGGGGAGGGGTGCATGTGGCGGGATTGGTGGGGGGAAGGGCTGGGAGTGGCTACACCAGGCACAGGGTTTCCTGCTGTTCTCTTCTGAGAGGCCGGGCCTTGCCGCATCACCATGCCAGAGCCCAGGCAAACCGCTCTTGGCTGTGGCTTCTGACCCTGGTGGTCAGACTCTTCCAAGCCAAGGATTCTATGGGGGTTTCATGGTGCCAGGCACAAAACCAAAGGCTTTTCATCAAATGACGCCCTTAATCCTCACCACAAATCTCAGAGGCAGGTTCGAGGTGTTGCCCCTTTCACGGATGAGGAAACTAAGGTAGAGTTCCAGATTCCACAGGCTAGGAGGGACTCTGACAGGGGCGTCTGGGCTCTGTCTCCAAAGTGGAAGACAGGTCGGAGGGATGACACAGCTAGAGAATAATCTCTCCCCAGCACAAGCCTAGTCACGCAGGGTTTCAAGCCCCCAGCCCCCGTCCCCAGGCCAACGCCAGCCATGGCAGGCAGCGGGTGCACGTGTGGCACAGGGCAGTGACAGTGGGCTGGGAAGGGTCCCCAGGTCTGAGGCTGCCACTTCCCCCAACTCCCAAGCCAACCGGCACGTGTGGTTTGCAGCAGAATCCCAATGGAACTCATTCATTCTCTCTCCCTTATCACTTTACACACATGAAATCCATTTTAATTAGCATTCAATATATAATCTAAAGACAAAAAAAAAAAACCTCCACAGATTGCTCCCCACCCCCAGTGATTCTTAGCGAAAGATTTATCTTGTATGTTTCTTAAGAAAATCTATATGTGCCCAATGCATTTAAATAACACTCATTACAGCCCGCGGCATGCAGGCCGGCGTCTCGTCACAGATGAGAGACAATCGCTTGACCTATTGCAAATCAAAAAGCATTTCCACACCACCTTTATTTTTCAATTGGTTAAGTTTTAAATTAAAGTCCCAACACCCGTTTGGGAAAGGCAGCCCGGCGAAAGAGGCCCCGCGACTGAAATTTCAGCTCAGTCGATCAGAAGATAATTACGAGAAACAAAAATGTGAAATTTTAAATCAGGGCGCTAATGATGCCTAAAAATACCGGGAGCCCATCCCGGTGGCCGGCTGGCCCCGTTCTTCGTGGAGGGAATCGTTCCATAATTATCCTACCTCGCGCGAGGCCGGGCTGTGTCTGTCCGATGATAGCGGAGCAAGAACGGAGGGGCTTTAATGAGGGAGAGTGCAGGGGTGATGGGAGGGTGGGTGGGAGTCTTATTAGAATGCCGGGCAAGGTTTCAAACAGAGCATGGGAGAAAGGGAAATGTGCGTGTGTGTGTATGTGTGTGTGTGTGTGTGTGTGTGTGTGTGTGTGTGTGATGTGTTTAAAGTGGGGTTCTGGGCTAGTGTGGCCTGGTCACCGAGGCGTCTTCTGGGAGCCAGCTGTCTGTCACTCAGAAGCACGAAATCAATTGGGCATCAGATATGTACAGTCCCTGGGGGCAAAATTAAAAGTGACCCAAATCCAGAGCCACGTGGCTTGGTCAGGAATAGGAGCCTCCCTTGGCAATGTTCAAAGCTTGGGTTTGAGAAACCCGGTTTCTCCTCTGACAAAGATAAAGTTGTTTGACAGGCGAGATGACAGACAAATTACAGCTTGAGCAAGAAAGGCTTTTAAGATTAGAAATGAAAGGAGGAATTACTTAAAAAAAAAAAAAACACAACACACAGCACCACAGCCAAGCCCGACCCCACCCAGGCTGGAGTCCGGGAATATCGGTGTGTGTGTATACCACTCTCTCTCCCAGGCAGGGATGCCAGCACCTGCCCGCAGGGGAGGCACCAGCTCAGTCACTCGCAGGCTGACTTGGGAAATGGACAAAATGGACGGGTCCCGGGGTTCCCCGGCTGGTTCACCCCACCCTCTGCCCGACTCCATCCTTGCCCATGTGGGGCCTCGCCCCTCACCCATCCCATGAGTTTGGGCCCTGGACCCCTGCCCAGACGCCTCGGGGTGGCTCTGTGTGGCCTCCTGGCCGGGTGCACACAAGACCTGTCTTCCCACTTCTCTTGCCCTGGTCTTGGGGGTAGGAGGACCCCAGCTTGGTGCCGAGGGCCCCTCTAGAAGCTTTGGTCCCATCTGCTCACAGAACTCATTGGCTGGGTGCCTGGAGCCCGGCCAACAGCCCCCAAGGCGGGTGAGGGAAGTGTGGGGAGCCTCCTGGGTACCCCGGCCCCCATGTCCCAGCTGGCAGTGCTGAAACTGCTACAGCTGATGGTGCTTAGTGTTTGGGAAGTTGCTTCTTGGGGTGCTCAGGGGACCCTAGGGGACTGGGGGTTGAAGTGAGGCTTCCTGCATGCAAAGCCTGCACCATTCCGGCCCTGGGGACTCTCGGCAATCCAAGTTGTTATTTATTTATTTATTTATTTATTTATTTTAGGGACAGAGCTTCACCAAAACACTGCTTCAAGAAAAAAAAAAAAAAAGATCTTCCAGCAAGAGTTTAACCAGAATTCAGATGTCATTTTCTCTCATTTTTTTGTCGCTTGAAAAGAACACCGATTTCCACACAAGAGAGTCAAAGCTCAGTGCCACTGGGCACTAGAGCCGGTGAAGGCCAATGTGCGCTGAGGCCTGGATGGGCCCTGAAGGATATACCAGGCCCCAGGGAGCAGCGGAAGTAGAGAGAAGGGCTGGGACCTGAGATGCCATTTCTGGGGGGCTGGAGGTGGGGGGGCGGCTGCACACTTGTGCCCTGAGGCGCCCCCAGGACTGTCTGTTCTCTGCTTTCAAGGGGAGGTCTGAGGACCCCCATGGTGTACCCCATGTCTCAGCAGGAGCGGGGCCCGGTGTTCTGGAGCTCACAGGGACAGGCATGTCCGCCCAGTGAGACCCCGCTGTCCCCAGCCTATGCCCCTGTGTATGACCCTGTTGCACCATCTCCCCTGCCCCCAAGGCCTCTGCTGGTGCCCTTGGCCCTCGCCTCTGGCCAGAGCTCCCCTCCCGGGCAGTGCTGTCCAGAACCTGCCTCAGGGGCCCCTGGAAGGAGAACTGGGGTTGAGGGGAGGGGGTCTCTGCAGATCTGGGATGAAGGGGTGCTTCCCCAGGACCTCGCAGCTTTCTCAGAATCCCTGAATTCAGGGGGCTGGGGATGGTCTGAGATGGTCCCCAGCTCACCCATCGCCTGGCACAGGGAGGGCACCCTTTCCCAGGGAGGGATGCAGACAGTTCAACTTCTACTTGTCCTCCTGGGTGAGAGATGGAGACCCCGGAAGCCCAGAGGGAAGGCTGATTCGTGGTCATGGTGCTCAGGGCAGAGCTGCGAGCAGCCTGGGCATGGGCTGGAGGCAGAAGGCCCTGGGTCCGGCTTAGCGGGCTCCCCTCGGCATCCCCATACCTTCCCTTGGCCTCCTCTGAGGCTCTGACCTCGGGCGTGGGAGGCCAGGCAGGAGCCTTGGGTGGCTCAGCTCTCCAGAGACCCCCTTTCATGCCCATGGCCCTGTGATGGCCACGGGGCCCCTGCATAGGTGAGGGAGGATATGGAGGCAGTGGGACTTACCTTTGGGGTGCCCGGGGTCGGTGAACTCATACTTCCCCACGCCGATGGTACGAAGCATCTGCAGCCCGGGGGCAGAGTCGGTGGTGGGGGGCCCGTTGGTGGTGGGGGCCCCGCTGGGGAGGGTGGCGGATGGCTGGGCTGGCGGTGGGGGCATCAGGGGCCCGGCCATGTGGCCATTGCCCACGGCGCTGGGGCCCGGGCGGGCCACCTGGCCCACACTGGGCAGGGTGGACACAGCCAAGGGCTGCGGGCTGGCGTACAGAGCCTGGGCCGGCATGTTGACCACCACGCTGCTCAGCGGCTGGGCGGGCGGCTGTGGGAGCGAGTAGTGGCCGGGCATCAGCGGGAGCTGGGGCCCCACGTGGGGAGGCAGCGAGGGGGTCACCCCGATGACCGGGGCCTGCACGTTCACGGCCGGGCTGAAGGTGGGAGGCTGGGCCACGCCGTAGGAGTGAGCGATCAGGGCGGGCTGGCTCCCGGCGGCCACTGTGGTCACCCAGGGCCCCGTGCCTGCAAGGGAGATGGAGGAGAGATGTCACCAGCCGGAGGGGGGGGGGGCATCCACACCCACCCACTGCATCAACTGGCCCTGGACGGGGCGTCTGGCTCCCAGCAGGGGATGAGATGCTGGTCGGGATGCAATGCCGGCCTTCAGGGATGCAGATTTAGAATCTGCTTACAGGAGTACAGAGTAAGCTGGGCCCATGCAAAGATGGCTGCGGGCTCAGAGCACAAGGCACCCTTGCCTGGGAGGGGAATGGAGACAAGGAGCCCTGGTTTGATGTGTGGGTCCAAGCACCCAGGAGCACAGAGCAGGGCATGGGATGTGCATCTGCTCTGGGCAGCATCCTATCCATCTGCTGGATGGACCTCAACCTCCCACTCCCAACTCCACCCCATCCCCAGCTCTTGGAATGTCAGAAGTGACATGGACAGGGAACTCTGGTGGGGCCGTGCGACATATTCCAGACATGTCAGGTCATTCCTTCCATTCTGGAAACCAACTAACCGACCCTGCAAGTCACTGCGTCTCAGTGGCACGCAGGTGTGTGCGAGGTGAGGGTGCTGGGGGGTCCAAGGATGGGGTGCTGGGGCCCACTCAGAGCCCCTTGCTTAGGAGAGCCAGAGGCTGGGCCCTCAGGCTGCGGCTGATGCTCAGGGAATGGCTCGAGGCCCTGGGAGGTCCCCAGGGGCCTGGGGTGCTGTAGGAAGCAGTGGACCCCACATCTGAGGAATGGAATATGCCAGTTCTCACAGGACAGCGGACAAGCACTCCCGCCTGGGGGGGTGGGGAAGCGGACACTGAGGAACCTGCCACAGGTCTGAGGACTGAGGCTGGGGCCAGCCCTGATGATGGTGATGCCTGCCCAGGACACTCACCTGGGTTGTCGCTCTCCCGCATCTGCTTGGAGGGCGGCTCCTCCGTGTCCCAGGGCGTGGACTGGTTGATGGGCGTCTGTCCCCACCGGATGCTGGTGGTGAGTCCCTGGGCCGGATTGTCCGCCTTGGAGATGCCGGGGGCCTAGGGGGAGAAGCAGAGTGGGAGGTGAGTGTCCCTGTCCAGATCACTGCCCTGGGCTCAGCCCCCAGCTGCACCTCTGAGCCCAGGGGGCAGCAGCAGAGACACTTCTGCCTCTCCCACCAGCCACCCCAGGGTCTCCCTTGCCTCTCCCTATTACTCTCTCCCCGATCACAAAGGCCAGTGTGGTGCGAGAAGCCAGTCCTTGATCATCCCCTCCATCACCCCCAACATTTTGGATGCACCAAGGAAACATTGGCACAGGCTGTGGTGACCTTGTGTCAGAGCAAGGCAGTGCTTCAGAGCTAACACAGCAAGCGTGGATGAGGTGCGAGGTCGCTGGGGTAGGGAGAGAGTGAGGCCCACACAAGACAACTGCCATCTTGCCCCCAGGGCTGGTGGGCAGGGGGCACCTTTACAGGACCCCTGATTACTTGCTGCAGGGAGGAGGCAACTTCTGTTCCAGGCCCTCATTACTTTATATTCAGGGTCAGGAGGGATTAAATAGGGTCTGAACAGCAATTACAGGCTCGAGGTGGAATACTACACAGTCATGAAAAATCACACTCAATTAAAATTCCAGACACACAAATCCAGTATTCTCACTCTACCAGGATCCAAAGAAAGCAGGATCAGTAGGCACACACACAAAACCACAAAACCAGGCTGGGGAGACAGCAGGAGCAGAAGGAGGAATCCGAAACACTATCGGGTGGCCATGGTCTTGAGCAAGGGGATTATGGGCAACTTTTGATTCTCTCATCTACACTGCACCCACCTTTTCTGTGATAGCTGTTGCTGTGATTTATAATAAGCAAAAAATAGATACAATTCAGGAACCCCATTGGCAAACCCAGATGGATCACGGGAAGTGAGGGTCTCTGGGTCTCTCTGACGCTGAGTAATCACAGCCCTGCAGGGTGTAGCCTTAGTCCAAACTTGAGGTGAAAGAAAAGCAGGGGGAAGCCGAGAGGGCTTCTTACTAGGGATGGCCACAGATGGCGAGAGGAGCCTCCGGGCACTTCTCTCTCCCACTGAGATGGAGGCACTTTTTTATAAAAATTTATTTTCTTTTAGTGAATCCCCGTGAGGTAGTTACAAACTTATGAACTTCCGTGTTTGCATTTCAGTCATACAATGATCGTTTCTCCATCCCTCCACCAGTGCCCATTCTCCTCCACCAATGTTCCCAGCATCCCTCCCAACACCCCTACCCCATCCCCCACCACCCCACCCCACCTCTGTGGCAGGGCATTCCCCTTTCTCTCTCCTTTTGGGTGTTGTAGTTTGCAATAGAGGTATTGAGTGGCCATCGTGTTCGGTCTATAGTCTCCTTTCAGCACGCATCTTTCAACCCGAACGGGTCCTCCCAACATCCTTTGCTTGGTGGTCCCTTCTCTATCTGAGCTACCTTTTCCCCCAGCACGTGAGGCCGGTTTCCAAGCCGTGGAGAAGACCTCTTGGTCCTTCTCTCTACCACTCTTGGGTGTAAGTCGGTGGAGGCACTTTTTATTTACTGTTTGGATTTTTTTTGAGTCTCCTGAGCAGTGTTCTGGCCTCGGGGCTCCACCAACAATTCTTGGCCCACGGGGTCAGTAGCTCAGTGCAAGGGTCAGGGGGGTGGCGCTGCTCAAGCCCTGGGCTCTGACATGGTGCTCGGGGCCTCCAGGGCACTGCTTGGGCAGGCACCCGGGGTGCCCCTTTGTAAGCGTGTGTTCCAGTGCCCTGGCCCTTCCTAACTTCTGCAGAAGCTTCTGCAGCAGCCCCGGAGAGGCAGCACCGCCTCTCGCAGCCCCAACCTTGCTGAGAGCGACGCTCCTGGCTCTGCACCAGGCCAGCTGGGGAGGGGGCGGCACTTCACGGGCCTTCATATGCCAAGTGCGCTGGTGAGCAGCTGTGCACCGGGCAGGGGCCCTGCTGGGTGAGAAGGGCGTGTCTGGTCAGGACCTTGGGCCAAGGAGCTAATTGCAAGGGGTCACACTTTCTTCCTGGGACTGTGTTTCAGATGCAAACAGAGCAGTAAACAAAGCCAAAGAGTGACTCTGGGGAAAGAAGGCCTCAGCGACCTTGGCAGAGGTGCTGCCCCAACTCTGTCTGATGGGCACCCAATATGGGCACAGGGGTACTGGGGGGCACCGAGGTCAAGCCAATGTATGGGCTTAGAGATCAGTACGGCGGCTCCTGTTCTCTGAATAGCTTTTCAGGGTGCCCTGGCTGCAGCCCCCTCTCGAGGGGAGCCCAGGCCACAGCTGTTGCCACCCTCACCCCGACAGATACTCCCTGTCATCACAGGTATTCTTGGCAGAAGAAGCCTGTGTCCCGAGGCACTCAGCGTCCTGTGGAGGCTGAAGCTGGAATGTGGAGCCCCCGTGCGGCCAGAAGGGGGCGCTGCAGCACCTCTGCTGCGCTGGTGTGCAGGGCCCTTGAGGAACTGCAGGCCATTCCTCCTGCATCAGCATCCCGGGAAGAGGACTGACAGCACGGGGAGGACCTTCCAGCAGTGGCTGCGCGGTGCTGTCGAGTGTGTGTGTGTGTGTGTGTGTGTGTGTGTGTGTGTGTGTGTGTGTGTATGCGTGCGTGTGTGTGTATGTCTGTATGTGTGTGCATGTGTGTGTGTGTGTGCGCGCGCGTGCGTCTGTGCGAGCTTGTGCGTGTATGCGAGCGCGCGTGCGTGTGTGTCTGTATGTGTGTATGTGTGTGCGCACACGCATGTGAGGGGCTGTCTCAGGAGCACAGGACCTGGACCCTCACAGCGGGCATGCCCACTTCACCCTCCGATTGGGGCATTTTGGAACTCTCCTTATATGCTCAGGCCCTCGATCTCAATCCCCGACTGCAGCCAGCCTGCTCCCTGGCGGGCCTGCTGGCCAGCTGGTGTGTGGGCTAAGTCCATGCACCAGGAGAGGGAGGCACTGGGCTCGGCCAAGACCGAGCTGCTGTCTGGCTGTGTCTGTAGGGAACGGTGCGAGCAGCAAGTGTTCTTGCGGGGAAGGCAGCGCTCAAGTGGCGCTCAGGGGTCTGGGGGCACTCCTGGAGATAAAGCCGGTCTTCCGGGAAAACAGCTGAATGCACAGACTGTGCCATGCTGGGGGTCACCAGGGCTGCACCCAGCAGTGCTGGGGACCGATCTTGGGGCCTTGTGCATGCCAGGCGTGTGCTTCAGCCCTCTGAGTTCTACGTACAAGCAAGCGGCTGGGCTGGGGGAAGGAATGCCATCTCCCGTTCTCTCCTTTCAGAGACAGACCAGGACCCTCATTCTGCCTGGTTCTGTCACTGCTACCAGCCTTTTTTGTTTGATTTGGGACCACATCCGGCGGTGCTCAGGGCATACTCTTTTTTTCTTTAATTGAATCACCATGAGCTATAGTTACAAGCTTTCATGTTTGAGTTTCAATCATACAATGATCAAATACCCATCCCTCTATCAGTGCACATTCTCCACCACCAATGTCCCCAATCTATACCCGCCTTTTCCAACTCTCCCCCGTCTCCATGGCAATCTCCCCCATACTCTCTACCTGTGGGCGTTATGGTTTGCAATACAGATACTGAGAGGCCATCATGTTTAGTCCTTTATCTACTTTCAGCACACATCTCCCATCTCGACGTGTTCCTCTAACCATCATTGTCTTAGTGACCCTTTCTCTATTCCAGTTGCCTTCTCCCCCAGCTCATGAGACGGGTTCCAACAATGGGGCAATATTCCCGACTCAGGGCATACTCTTGACTCTGTGTTCAGAGATCACTTCTGGTGGGGCCGAAGAGGCCCTGGGGATCAAACCCAAATCTGCTGTGTACAAGGCAAGTGTCCTACCTGAAGTACTATCTCTCCAGCCCCCTAAAACGAGCACTTGTCCTTTCATGCCCTTTCACTGCAGTCTCTGGGGCAGGCTGGACTCCAGGCTTGAGGGGTCCTGGGGGTGACCGAGTCAGCTCCAGATCTACAGCAAATGCCAGGCCCCTGGGCTCTGGACACCTTCCACATCTTTCCTGGTTTGTGTTTGCTTTGGGGGTCCACACCCGGTGGTTCCTTGGCAGTTGCTCCTGGCGATGATGGAGGAAGGTGGGTGCCAGAACTCAAACCTGGGGCTTCTGCATGCAAGGCAAGTGCTCTAGAGCCATCTCCCTGGTCCCTTAGGTCTGCTCTTAATGCCAAGCTCCCGCTGAACACCCCCATCTCCACGAGGCGTCCAGAAAACTGTGCTGCTAGCTGTCTTGCCACAGGGTCTGCAGCTCCAAGACACTCCGGTGAGATTTTGCTTTTCCTTTATTTTGTAATTATTTGGAGGAGTGTGTGTGTGTGTGTGTGTGTGTGTGTGTGTGTGGTGTGTATGGTAGGGACTTCCAGGCAGCTCACAGACAGAGGTGGAGCTGGTGAGCAATTAATTGTTCCTTAACAGTATCCTAATGGTGGACATTCAGGTTCAGGAAGAGCCGTTTTGTGTTTGGGCTCTGATTTGTTTAAAAAATTTTCCCTCCCCCTCCTTCCCTTTCTTTTAGTTTTTTGAGGACAGGGGTCTGGCTGTGGTACCGGCACACTTTCCCCAGCTGTCCTGCTTGCAGGACTCTGGGTTCCAAGAGCAGAAACACCAGGAGGTGGTAGCACGTGTGGGACACCAGGGGTTTGAACTCATGACCATACGCTTGCAATCTAAGTCCCTGCACTGTTCCTCTGCACCTGGGGTCCTTGGAGGCCAGCTTATGGGTCAGGTCTGGCCGTTGGCCTCAGGGCTGGCAGATCATCACTAAGGGTGCTGGTCTCAAGGTCACAGAGCTGGCGTCTCACCCACCTCTATGGGAGAGGCCCTCTGAGCTGGGTACATATGAAAAGCATGTGTGGGGAGTTAAGAAGGCAACCCCGGAGCTCCAGAGGCTGAGGGACACCCCCCTGGGTGGTGTGGGTGCTCCAGGGAGCCCACTGTGAGCACAACGAGAATCCAGACATCCAGGTTCTAGGGACCTGTGTGAGCACAGAGCCACCGGAATTTGTCCGTCTTCAGGGA